TTTTTTTTTTTTTTTTCGTTTGGCCGGCGTGCTTCTGCCCTGTCAGCGCCAGCGTTGCGGAGCAGCAGCAGACCCACCACCCGCTCGTGCTGCTGGGGGGGAGGGGCAAATGTTGGAGGAGCGTGTCGCGTCGGTGGAGCGGCGTGCGGCGGCGATGGAGCGCGCCGTCATGGTGGCGATGGAGGAGGTCGACGACACACGCACCGCACTGCTGGAGCGCATCGACCAGATCCAGCGCGTTGTCAGCAGCGGGGGCACCAGCAACGGCAACGGTGTCACGCCGCGGCACATTGACGAGGTGGTGCGCATCGCGTCGGAGGCGGCGGCGGCGGCGACGGCGCAGAGGGAGAAGTTGCGCCTGCAGGAGGTGCGCCACAACGCCCTAGAGGAGGTGGTGGCGGCGCTACACTCACGGTTAGACGGCCGCGTGCACAGCACCGAGCAGCAGCAGCAGCAGCAGGAGCGGGAGGCACACGGCGTAGAGACACCGCGGCAGACGTTGGAGGCGGAGGAAAGTGACGCACGGCAGAAAAAGGACACGCGGCTGTTCGGCGAGACAGTGGGACACATCCACACGGAGCAGGCGAAGGCCCCTACTAACAGCAGTGTTGATAGCGATATTGTCACCCAGCTTCAGAGGCGCATCGCACACCTTGAGCACAAACAAGAGGCGTTGCAAAGTATTGCGACGGTTAGATTGGATGGGATTGAGGAACGCATCACGGGCATCGTCGAGGCACGCTTCAGACAGCTGCTCCGCGAACAGAAACAGCAACAGCGTTCCAGTGGACAGTCAGCAGGCGGTCTCTCCCCGTCTACAGATGCCACTGCTGATGTTTGTAATTCTACTCTTCCCTCAACGCAGCCGCAGCCTCCGTCGTCTTCGTCAGTGGCGTCAGGCACGTTGGATGTCCGCAGTCTCCGTGTGGACATTGATGTGCTGCGGCAGGACCTTGTTCGCTGCGTGGTGGAGATTGAGAAGCTGATGGACCAGCAGCAGCGCCTCGGCACCCGCGTGCACAGCTGTGTGAACACCGTGCAGCGGCAGCAGGCAGAGCTCGACAGCCTTGCGGAGCAGCAGAACGAAACGGTGGCGTCGCATGTGCGCCGCCTCGAGGCGCAGCAGTCTACAGCTATTGCGCGGCAGGAGAAACAGCTTGCGGCGGAGCTCCAGCTACTGCAGTCGAGGATTGCCGCGGAGGTGCGGCGTGCCAGCGAGCGGCACAACGACACCGTCACGGTACACCAGCAGCAGCTTGCAGGGTCGTGCGGTCACAACGACCTCGCGGTGGCGCACGAGCAGCTGCGCGATGAGCTGCGCATTGCGGTGGAGCGGCAGCGCGAGGAGTTGCGGCTGGCGCTCGAGCAGCTTGCGGAGACGAGCCGCCGCCTCGAGCGTGACGTGGCGTTGCAGCTGA